GAATATCTATGATAAAGTTAAATTTATAAATTAGGCTCAGTAATAGATTAACAACAATAATAGTAAAATAGAACAATTAAAACAATAAAACAAGGGTTACTTGAACACAAGCACTGCAATACTGCGACACTAGATCTGATAACTGAGACAGCCATTAAGTCACTAAGGGGCAGGCAGCACAGACAGTGTGGATACACGGAACAGAAGGATAATTCACGTCCCAGGCTGGATGGAGTGGGATGGTGCATGATTTCATCATGTTACTCAGAACAGTGTGCAATTTAAAACTTATGAACTGTTTATTTCTGGAATGTTCCATTTAATATTTTTGGACAGCAGTTGAGTGAGAGTAACTAAAACCACGGAAAGCAAAACCGTGAATAAGGCATGGCGGGGCGGGGTGGCTTCTGTATAAGGAAATGTTTACCAAAGCAGTGCCTCTATCAATAATAAGCAAGTTAAAACGACTACAAAATTCAAAACAAAAACAAAGATTGCACAAAAGGCATATTCAATAGGACATTATTCACTGAATAAATTCTATCTTTGTGGTTACTGCCAATCATCCTGGACAGTTTACAACAAAGATATCCCTTTTTTTCTTTAATGATGTATACTTGAAAGATGCATAATATAATCTCAAAACTTCATTTTTCTAACACAAAGATCAGAAAATTTAACTTTCATCCTTTACCAAACATTTTCATCACTTGGTAAAAACAAAAAATCCCTTCCAGAAAGCAAAAAATTTTGACTTAGAAATGCATTTAAATACATGAAATCTCATGAAAAAGAAAGACAAATATTATCATTTGGCTTTAAAATGTTTGGAAGTTGGCAACCCCACCTCTGTTTCAGTACTCTTTGGTCAATTAGTCCAAGAGCAAGGTTTCCAGCTGCAGAGAAAGATGCAGTGTGCTCCCCATGGATGGCTGGATTGGAGGTCTGCTCATTCCTGTCACCAAGAAGGAAGAGGTGGGTTAGGGGCTGCTCCGCAGGAGCCACAACCTTTGCCCTCAGGGCGGTTCTAAGGGTAGGAGTCAGTTTATAGAAAACATATGATCTGTGTCTTCTTCTAAGATCCACATTAGAGTCACGTCTAAGAGAACTTAAGGAAGGACCCTCTGGGGTCATCTCATGCAGTGGTTCATAAATGGCAGGAGGCAGACTGATCACAGTTCACAATGCTATTTTCACTGATCAGTCATATTTCTAAATGGTATTGAGATAATTCCTTCCTTTATGAAATGACAGTGATAATAGACTATACCTTTATTGGTTAACAGTCTGATGGACAAACGATCCAAAAGAGATACCTTCTCCACTTCCTGCCTTTTATCTGTGAAATCTCATCGTATGAGCACCATATTCCACTGACTCTCTTGTTTTCTGAGTGATGCTGCTGAAGCCCAGAAGGCTTCACCACCACAAGCCACAAAGTAGCAGTGCCAGGAGTTGACCTCGGTTTTTCAGCTTCCTGTTCAGTGATTTTTCTATCAGGTTCAACAAAAACAACCAAAAAGCAACTGCAAATACTTCTACCAATTACATATTCCTATCGTTTGCCTAAGTTTGAATAGGATACTAAATATCCCATTCAAATGTGGCGTACAAATTCTTTTTAAAATAACATACCAGGCAACCATTAGTCATTCAATGAAATATGCATTCAAGTTGAAATCCATCTGCAATCTTTGGTCTAGAATGCCATTGTAGACTCTTTAGGAGTCTTAAGCATCATTTATTCTACCTGCTTTGTTTTACAGTTGGAATTAAGAAAAGTCAAGTGACTCTCCAAGGTTAGATGGGTAGCTAATATCAGAATAGGGGTTTGAAATCAAGTGTTTTGATACCTAGCTTCAGGGTTCTTTCTACTATACCATGTTCCCTATTTTTAATTAAGCACTTAATTAAATAGCATATTCTCATCTTTCTTTCTATTATCACAAATTCCACTTGACAATATATTTGTCCAGTGACAATATATTTGACAATCAGCCAATATAACCAATAAGTCCACATGCAATTATGGTTTTGCACCAGAATAATTTAACCTGAATACAAAACAACACAATCCCAGCTACTTACTGGGTAGAGTGAAAAACCCTCACTGATAAATCCCTGGACAACCAGTGTTCCCAGTCTTGGCTACATTTGAAAATGGCTTTCTTAACTAGATTCACAAAGCTTTTTTAACACAAGGCTGTTTTGGTCTGGGAGAAGGAGAAGAGATTTTCTCAAAGATTGTGAAACTCCTAGCATCAGTGTGAATTAACATGGAGTTAGGTACTGTATTATTTTTTACAACCTACAGATGAAGCTGTAGGAATGTCAACATTTAACAGAATCAATCCAACTCAGTGGTAGAACCAGGAATGAAGCCCAGATTTCCTGGCAGTCCAGCTAGTTCTCATTTACTATGAGAACATTATAAACTGATTTGCAGTGGAAACAAGGCCGGCTGTTTTCTTCCAAGCTGTGCTTAAGGCCATATCAAGATTCCACTTAACTGAAGAGAACTTCCAAAAGTCCAGCTCATCCAAGAATGCTGGGAAATTACTTTGAGCTCTATTTGAGGTTCACACTCTCTTTGCTGGAAAGGACTAAAAGCATACAATGGAAACTTCATCAAAAGTCACATTTGAAGAGTGTGCTTTTATATAGATATGTCAAAACAACAAGAGAGATTTTTCAAATAAATCAGATGGTAGACTCTTCAGACCAACCATGGACCATCCCTTCAAGTTTACCTATTCCCCTCAATGTCCCAAATATCCAAATATTCTAGAAATCAAATTACTTAAGTCGGGTCTCTCTAATATTGTATTGCTTACCAGAGAATAAGATAGAAATATATATTATTATAGATGTAATCTGAAAAAAGAAAGTAAACACATAGATTTCATCAAACATCACAATTTTATTTTTAAAATTAATGAATAATTAATCTGCAGCAATTATTTAACCTTAGAAATCTTGCAAAAAGATTTCTAAGCAATACTATGGGAAAACCAAATCAGAATGTCTGAAATGATCCTGGAACTTAGATTTATAAAGTGAATATTTTAATTCCATAATTTCTGTTATCATTCCTTTCATTGCAAAAGTCAGTGATTTAAAAAACAAACAAACAAACAAACAAAAAACAAGTAAAAACATCCCTAAACCTCAAAGCCACCACAAATTTTTCTACATAATTTCTGCGGGATGCTATCATAGCATTCAGCCTTCCAGGAATACTCTTGAGAAATTAGAAAACCCATTGTATCAAGAGTCTTTAGCAAATTATATTGTGAAGGCCTCTAGCAAATTATATTGTGAAGGCTTTGAGAGGAGAATATAAATTAGTTACTATAAGGAATCCTTGGCAAATAAACACATACATAAATAAATAAATACTTTAGGGAAAAGCAAAGGAGCAGCAAAAATGGCTTCCCCAAACCCTGATTTTAAGACCTAAGCTGCAGGAGTCCATACCTACTCATATTGTTTGTATATTTCAACTGCTTATTACAGATGTTTCTAGATTGGAGTTCCTGGTTTACAGACTCCTCTAACAATTGGAGTTGGTGTTTAAAAAGTGGTGCATTAAAAAATGTATCTTGATTCATAAAACTTTGCAAGAAGTGTCCTTTATGCAGATGTTAGAAATACTGTACACACGATCTCGCTGGAAATTGTCAGTTTTCAAAGAGGCTTAAACCCCGGTCTCATCCTATAGCCCTCATCGGAAAAGCACAGGATCAAAAATAAGGCATTCATGAACAGACTTACTCCTGGGCTGCTGCTGCCTGCATGAGCAGGGCTCTTTCTCTAGGGCTTCCAGGAGGCTGCAGTTCTTGACTCTTCTGCTTATATTTTTTAATTAAATCCATCAGAACAGCCTGGTGCCCAATTTTTTTTACCAGTTGCTGAACCATCCGATCATTAAGTGCTAGAAGAGCGGCTCCACTTACTTCTTCCTCTGGGAAAAAGAAAAAAAAAGTCTCTACATGCCTGCTTGGTAAAGCACTGTAAAAGACAGCACACTCTGAGCAAGAAAATATTATTTCTGGTGTTAAAAAGATCATCTAAACGTGTCCTCTCATGTTATAAAATTATCTGTATTTCTGACAAAGATAGAACACTGACGTTGCATAATTCCAAATCGATATCTGCTCCTAAGAAAGAACTAGAACATAGAGTCACAATAAAATCTTATTACTTCCACATTATTGCCTCCCCACTTCCAATCCTTTCTTACTGGCATGTTTTTATAAGGAAAAAAATCTTGGGAGATCATTATTAGTAATATCTCCCAGGCAATATTCAATACTTGTAAATCTAGCACTGCACAAAACACATGTGGCATTATTTAAAGACAAAATTAGTATCAAATGATATCAAATAAGTATTTTAAGTAACTATTAAGACTTTATTTTGAGTTCTTTTCAGAATATATTCTCTCATGGATGCTAGGCCAAATGCAAACTCTGCCACAGTCAGTCAAGAAATGAAAGTTCCCCATTGAAGCAATTCCACATCCACACTCACATGCATTAGGCAACAAAAGCGATTACCAATAACAAAGGACACTCAATAGCTAGGCTGCTCAATTAACATTATTTAAAAGTGTAAACAACTCACCTTGAAACCTATGAACTAGCTCTCCTAAATTTTTCTCCACCAACCAACTGCAGACCTGATCAACTGACCAAGCTTCCATTGCTGTATCCTGTAAATGAATACACCTGTAGAATAAAAGGTCTGAGAAGGATTCTTCCGTTTTTCTTTCAGATTGTTGTTTTATTTTATTTTATTTATTTACTTTTATCAATCAGCTCTCTAATTTCAGCACCTTACTTTGGCAGACTCAAGACTCTCAATACTAAGCTTCTTTAAAATGACTATTTTCTGAATACACATCTAAAAGTTGCTAATAAAACGAATATTCTTTTTAAAAATGAGACTGATTTGAACTGTTTCCTAGTCTCATTTCTCAAATTTCTTCACCTTTTCCTACTTTTTTTTCCACAGGCATCCCATAGCTTTACTAACAGACAGCCAGAGACGTACAGTGGTACCCAATCCTGTACCATTAACACCCAGGTTTGTTCACAAAGAAAAGAAAGGTGTGAAATTCACCACTACTGGGCTCATCAGGAAGTGGTTGACATTTACAAAAGGGGCGGGCAGGGAAGGAAGGGAGGAAGGATCAGATAAAAGTCTGACTGAGATACTTAGTAAACCAAGACAGGTTAACCCCTTGCTGCTTCCCAGCTTGAAGAGAAAGCTTGTAGCTGCTTTTGATTGCTTTGGGTTAGCAAGAGGAGAAAGTAGCAAAACAATTTCTCAGGAGAACCGAGAATGTTCTTTTCTTTCCTTTCAACAATCTTCTTAAATATTCCATTCAGTTCTAGAACTTTATTGAATACCATTATGATTGGTAAGATAACTGGGAAAAATTAGCTCATTGATTGAAACCTTTTTTTTTTTAAGTTTTAGTTGTGCAGATTCCCAATTATGGGAAAATAACTATGTTAACAGTCGTTAAGTGAAAGAAGTGCATACGGAGTTTAGATTATTCTTTAAATATTCAGTTAATGTTGAATGCCACTATTTTTCTAAAACCACTTAGAAAATTTAAAAACAAGTATACCAATTTCAATAATTTTATCTGTTTTTCTGAGGCAGCGAATGCCTGTCCTTTTTAAAAATGATTTAATCCAAAATAATTTCAATGGGCTGGAAAGAAACTGAAGAAAAACTTAAAACATTTTAATCTTTTAACATTACTTTTGATTTTATCTTTCAATCTAAATGTAGATTTACCTGTAGAGTAAGACACTGACTCTTCCATAAAGACAGAGGGAAAACTGCTCTTAGCGAAATAGAATCATAAGAAAAGGTAAAAATATTTATTAGATCTTGTATTTAAGTTTTATCACCAGACGTTCTCGAAATAAATATGGTATTTTTCATTTCTGCGTATTTGAGTAAGTTATAATTTCCAATATAGAGTGGTGGGAAGGGAAACATTTACCTTTCAAACTTGACAATCTGAAATGATAACAGCCTTCAAAAATCATTTCCTAGAAAACAAGTGCACTTCAAAGTAATAAGCCACATTCTCATAAGTATTCACAAACACCAAGTTGCAAAACTGAAAACAAGGGTTAAACACAAAAGAACGCCTTTCTGAATTACAGCAGTGGGTTTAATTTGCTAAGACAACAGTAGCCACAGAACTCCTCCCCTAGGCTAAGCAGTAAGAGCAGGGTGTGAAAAGTCATTATTTGCGAGACTCTGGTGTAAATTAAAAATCACACCTTCCCGTCACACTTCTGGCTTCCTTGTGAAGAGTAGGACTTAGGGAAAAAAAAAAAAAAAAAGCAGAAAAGAAAGAAAGAAAGAAAGAAAAACAATTCTCTAAACTCCAAGATTAAAAGGCATGCAGAGCAGAAGATACTGCTTTGTAGACATCAAAGAATAAAAAGAAATTTGAAAATAAAATAAGTATTTGGAAACCTTCTCATATATTTTAATTCCCAGATTTTTACCTAATTCTACTTTTGGGAAAAACACAGCAGTTATCAAATTATAACCTCATACAAAAACAATAAGATTTTTAAAAAATACTATAGTTTTTGTTCATTTGTTTTTCTAAATATTTAAGAAAATGAAATAATATCACTGCCTAAAGTAACATCTTTAAGTAGCCACCTTAAAACTTCCTCTCACATAAAGACTAGATATACTATTTATAATTGTATATATAAGCAAATAAAAGATATGTCAAATGAGAAAAGACACATCTAACAGCTTTACTACATATCCAGAAGTTACAGAAACATCTGAAAAGATTTTAAAATGTGAAGACAAGTACCATCATTAAATATTTTAAGACAGAATAATACAAAAAGAATAAAAATAATAAAGACATCATATTTGATTACTCCAACCAGTCTCATTATTTAATTAAATTATACTTTAATTTTAAAAAAAAGTTTGTATTAAATACTAATTAAAGCCAGAAAGGGCTAAGACTTTAGCTAAAGCAACCTAAAATGTGGGAAACTTTTATTTAATAAATTTGTTAAAACTCCAAAGGAAGATAATAGTACAAACTGCTGTGAGTGTGGTTTATAATCTTCAAGAACAATATAGCATATAACGACATCAACTACAAATAAGCAAATATGAAAACATTTGTCACTTCCCTTTCTGTTTGCCTTTTTGTTTTTATTTTCTCAGAGTCCCAAAGCTAAGGCAACAAAAGATTTTTAAAAGCTATGATGGTGGCAAATGCCTTCTCCTGGGAAAGGACATCTCCCACCCTAGCTGTACTTGAGGGAACAAGCCATTTAGCAAAAATTCGGTCTCATTGATGAAAAGGGGACAAAAAAATTTAGATATAAAAATAGGGATGTGACTGTCACATTAACCACCGTCCAGGCAATCCTGTTTGGTAGCGACCTTGCTAGGACATAAAGCAAGGACATCATTGTATTCGAGTAAAGCCAAACATCTCACCCACTTTGGGCCATTGTTCATTCCAGCCATCACCAGACCAGGAGGAATGAAAACTGGAACAGTCAACTAGATATCTTGCTTATCTTAGTCATTGAAATGGTTACTGCCTAGATAGCTCAGAGCTAGGTGAATGTGACACACCAAAGAAGTCAGAAGTCTTACGAAGAAGATAAGACACCGAAGATAAGACACCAACATAAGCAGAATGTAACATAAAGTCAATTACTATGAGTGCTGTAGAAAGCACTATGAGCTGAATTTTCCCATTATCCTGGAAATGAATGAATCTCGATTTGCAATGTGAATGAATGATACAGTTTAGATAGTGAAGGAGCCAGAGGAAGTGGGATTAATAGAATGAACTAAAAGTAAAAAGCCAGAAATAAACGAGTCAGGTTTGAGGACCTGAAAGTGGACCAAACTTTCTGGAACGGTGAACACACGGTAGAAAACGACAGCAGACGGTCAGAAAGATCACTGGCTAGCTTGGAATACCGGGTTCAGAGTTTATAGATATACTTCAGCTTGGGAAAGTCATTGAGCTGATTGTATAGTCCATACTTGAGAAGATTTTTATGCAGCTGTGCTAGATAACTTATAGGAAAGGGTGTTCTTTCTTGAAGTAAATTATGTATAAGAAGGAAAGTTAGCTTTTAGTAAAAGTTAATTTTACTAAACATTCATATATGTAGCAATTTTCCTTCACTTTAGAAAGATAGATATTCATATTAACCTTTCATAAATTATAGAAATAAAACATAATTTTTTTCATACATTATAGGCAAAAAGGGAGTGAGATCTACAAAGCTAGCTGATACCATGCAAATAAAACACATCAAAAGGATCTATCAGTTGCTTTAAGCTGGACCATATGAAACCGCCATTTTTGTACACATAAGAGTCTAAGATCAGTAATTTCTTATGGTTTAACTTATTGATTAAAATTTTGATTTTATGAGAACTACAAGTATTTCTTTGTTGGTTCCTTCTGTCCAGCAAAACTTATCAGAGATATCTGTAACTCACAAACATCCTTGAGAAATTTGAGGGCAAGGAGATGTGAAGAGTACGATAATAGTAGCTTAAATTTTTATATTTTCTATTTATCAAGAAACTAAACAGCAATTTACCTGAGAGGTTTAATTAAGTTAATGAATAAAAAATTGCAATCAACCAGAGTCCCAGGTCTCTTGGGACTTTTTTGAGTCACAAACACCCCGGACTTTTGGCCTTTGAGTCAAACTTATGGTTCAGCCTTGTTTCTGCCTAGTTAACTGTCAAAGCTTACAGGTCATCAGCATGGTCTACAACTCTCTGGATTCTTGCCAGAGATGGGAACGGTGAGCTGTGCTATTAACTTTTCCCAAAAGTGAATGTGTAATTGGAAGACTTGATAGTCTAAAGATGTCAGTTCTTTCAGAATTAATTTATAAATTCCAATTAATATTCAAATGGGTTGTATGTTTTTACTTACTCCGGTATCAGTGTTTATCTGGAAGGACAAACAGACAAAATAGGTCAAAGTATGTGGCAAAAGGATTTGCACTCCAAGATGTTCAAAAGTACTACAAAATTAGAATAAATATAAAAGCATGGTACTGGAGCAAAAGAGGACAGATCATTGAACAGAATAGAAACCTAGAAACAGAAATATACATACAGAAGTTTTAAAAATTGTTGATTCAAATAGGCGATGAGAAAAGGGAGACTATCTCATATCACCTATAAAATAAACTCTTTAGATGAGTTAAATAATTAAACATGAAAATTAAATAAAAAGAATTAAAATAATTTATAATAAGGTTGAAAATAAAAATAAAAGATGACCAGATTTGACTACAAAAAAATAAAAAATATGTATGTATACATATATAATATATAATTATAAGGAATAAAATAATTCCTTTAAGTTATTAAAAAGATAACTATACCATTAGAGAAAGAGAAAAGGGCAATTCATGAACAAAATTTTAAATAATTAGATATCTAAAAATGTAAAACATTCTTTGTAATAAAATTGATTAAATATCATTTTGTAGTCTACTGGAAAAGATAAAACTTTTTAAATGATTAGCAAGAGTGCTAATATTCTCTTACACATTGCTAAAGAAGGTACAAATTATTCTGTTATATTTTTGATCTTTTATAGATGAAAAACCTGAAGTTTACAAAAGTAATTCACGTAAATTCTCATAGCTTGCAAAGGAA